AGACCTTTGACACCAAAAACACACCACGCATTTTGGATCACAAGTCAGTCCCGGTCATGAATAATAACCACATAACAGTCTTCTGTGAATGATTTAATTTGGCTGATTGTGTTCTTTATTCCTTATCATTTATCTACATTGCTCTTTATTGCAAATTAATTCTAGAGTGGTGTTCTGGTTTGGGGATTTGAATTTCCGTATAGAGGACCACGGGATGCTGTTTGTAAGGAACTGCATCACCAGCCAGCGTTATAATCTTCTTTGGCCTAAAGATCAGGTACTGGTCAATAGATGTAGTAACAATGTCTATACATGCAAATGAAAAATGTAGTAACATATCAATCGTATATTTGCCGATCCAGAAATAGTAACTCACTTAATTTATGCAATAATGTTAGTTTGTGTCTGTGCATGTCAATATCTCACCAGCTCACCATGATGAAGCAGAAGAAAGCTACTTTGCAGAAGTTTGAAGAAGGACCTCTTGACTTTCAGCCCACCTATAAATTCGATTTGAACTCCGATAACTATGACACAAGGTAAATGACACAACTTATTACAGTACATCCTGCTGTATTTTGTAGTCATTGGTTTTAAAGTCAATAAGACATTTTCTTTGCTCAATCATGGTCTTTTTGTGAATGATAATTGTGGCACATTATTCCAGAATGTAATGCCTTTGAAATTCTATTCATTTTACCTTATTTTTAATAAGAAAAGAAAATACCACTTTTCACAACACAGCCAATTCCTGATGGATAAAATCAAGTCCTGCTCAACTTTTTGTTTCACTCATACATATATTTCTATTGTGGAATTAAAATGGATTTCATGTTGACTTTAATTGCAGTACATAGCAATAGTAATCCCCATAATATCCTGAATCTCCCGCAGCTCCTCCTTCAGGGCTGTTTTTAACTGTCAGATGTTCACAGATGCTCTTTTTCACCCCTGCAGGGTACAGAAGACATGGTTTGGTTTTAAGTAAGCTTTCAAATTCCCATGCGCTTCCTAACTTAATCCTTCCTACCCTGCTTGTCTAGCATTCCACCAGCATTCCTTTCCCTGTTTGTAGCATTCCGCCAG